ATAAAAAAATTACCTACTTGTTGTTGCAAAAGAAAGGCATATTTCAAAATAAATTTTAATGGCCTAAACACAAATTAAAAATATACAAATTATACCGTTTTTCCAACAGAATTAACACAAAATTAAATGAAATAATTAATTAATAATATAGATATAGAGGAAAAATACAATTAAACCACACAAGCTGAGAAAACTCCCATTACCCGTCAGCCAATATCTTGTTGTTGATAATTATACCTGTTAGTTGTTTGCTGTTGTTGCGGCTGTGCCTGTTGTTGTTGTGCTGTTGGCGACTGTGCAGTTGGTTGTTGCAATTGTAATTGTTGCGGATACGCTGGTGGCGGCTGTTGTTGCCGCGCACCAATCACAACTCCCCCGACTCCTCCAACACCACTCGTTGAGAATGTATCTAATTCTTCGTTGTTCGTTAATTGTTGTTGCTGTGCAGCATCCAACTGCTGTTGATCGGAAAGCAGTTTAGCAGCTAAAATTGACACATAAGCGCGATAGCGGCGTAGCTGTTGAAAAATCAAAAACCTCGATAAATACATTATCTATTAAATAATCATTTTGCTTCGTTTTACCTCATATTGCAAGTAACTCTCCTTTTCTTTGTAGTTCTGTAATGGCAGTCCTTTGTTCGGTACAGGGCCCTTCTTATGTTCAGCGAGTGCTGCCTCTAATTGCGCCAATTGTTGCTCATGCGATTCTAATTGCTCTTTCTACAACGAGAGAAGCGAAACGAAAACAAAACATTTATATGATTTCATATTTAGGTGAGACATATAGACATTTTTCAAATATTCACATACCATCAAATACTTTGTATGCGTGCTAGGCAGCAGTGGGCGTTGAAAACGTTTTTGGCTGCCCACACCACCCTCCAGTGGTGGCGCTGAGTATGCGGCACAAACGAAATTTATCGTCTCTACCCACGATTGTAGCTCTTTGGAATCACTGGTCTGAAATAAATACTCTGCCTGATCGGCGGTTTGCAAACGGAAAACATGCTGCTTTTTCGTATAATCGGTAGCCTTTGTGGCTAGAGCATGGTGGATGCGTATAGCGTTGTGCAGATTATCGGACATCTACAAAATAAAAAAAAAGGCAGATATTTTAGCAAAAGCCTAAAAGCACTTAGTTAAGTGTATAACTGCTCACTTGACTCTTCCGGAAGCCATGCTCGTCTTTGTGCAGAAAGAGTACTAGATCACGCAGCGTGCAGTAAAACATCTTCCAGGAACGTTTACCGAATGGCGCTAATGAAATAAGAACGATTAAGGATTTATATATTGATATATGCTATATTAATTACTTCAAGCTTAATACTCACTCTTCTTGTAGTTGGCATCGTAACAGCATTTGCGCATCACATAGCCCTTTTTGTACTCAATCGCCGTCGACGATTCCGGTATGTCTAAGAAGGGATTTTGACCGATAAGGCTGTTGCTTGTGCTGTTGCCGACATTATTATCTCCGCGTTGTTTTTGCAATTCAGTGACATCATCATCGCTAATGAAAATAGATAATAGGTTATTAATATGTATATAATTAATAAAAATTAGAGTTAAGTTCTTACAGCGCCCACTCAAGCGGTTGTGTTTTAATGGCCTGATATAAATATTTCAAAACATCTTTGGGGAAATTTTCACCATCGTTAAGCTCGGCTAGATTTTCAATGAATTCCGCGCAAGTCATCTTCCGTCCAATATTCTGGCCATGCAGATCGGTGTTTAGCAGCATAATGGCGCAAGTTAAAGTGTGTACAGCGTCTATTAGCGAATAGAAAAGCGTAAATATACAAAATTATTTCAATAGTCTGCCTTTGAACCAACGTCGATTCTGTACAACTTAACAATTAACCAACCTAACCAAGTAGCTACAACAAAAACACCAACAAAACATAAATAAGACCCACCTTGTGAATTGAACGTGCCTGGGTTGCAGTCTAAAAAGCGTTTAGAAAAATGCACCAACACACGTTCGCGCTCTTGTGTCTCACCCGACAGCGAGAATTGTTGCAGAAATTCACGTAACGATTCATCAAGCGTTTTCTTTTCGAAATTAAAATACTTTAGGTATTCATCGGCGACAGCACGGCTGAAGTCGTTGCTGGAAAAAAACACAATTTGTTTAATCCTACCTCATACTCGTAAATGCAGAATTAAGCTTTTACTTACTTTTTACTGAGGTGACGCGACACGTCGCTCTTCTTGAAACCATCCAGTGAGTACAGTCTTTTGGCTAGCCGTATTGCCGATGGCATATCCACGGCCTTTGGTGAGTAATGGTAGGAATGTAGCGACTCCACATCACTACCATCATCCGAAACGGGCGGCGATGAATCACGTCCTGTGCCGCCGCCATCACCGCATGCCGCCGTCAATGCACTATTTAATGGCTCCTCCGTCAGCGTGGCCAATTCATCTTCGGAGTCTTTCACTTCCGAGTAGCCGGTACGTGCTGAGACACTATTACTATTATCGATGCCACGCACCTGTATCACTAGTTTATGCTGTTCGGAGTTTCCCTGTTGGCCACCACCAACCATTTTCTGTTGTTGTTGCAGTTGCTGTTGGTGTAGCGCTTGTGCTTGTAACTGCAATTGTTGATGTTGTTGTTGCTTTTGTCGCGTTGCCGCCGTGTCGGATACGAGTATCGTAGAATCGGAATCGCTGGGATCGCTAAGTACCATGCCGCCTGCAAGATCGCGAGAACTCAATAAATTATCATCGTCCTGATAGTCGGGACTAGAAATATTCGAGATGGCTTCGGAGACGCTATGATCGTAACCGGCGCCACCTGCAAGACTATTATTACCACCACCACCATTACCACCACTACCGCCACCACCTCCACTACCATTACCATTACCACTACCAGTAGGACAATGTAACAAACCCGTTTGTAAAGCTGTTGTGGCTGTTGTTGCACTGGTGCCGCCGCTGGTGCCACCATTAGCGGCATTTGCTGTCAACTGTAGTTGTTGTTGCTGCTGCTGTTGATGATGACCGCCATTGTTGTTGCTATTCAAAGCATACGCACCACCAATGCCCAGCGCACCCTTCGAACCGGACGATGACATCACCGAACTGGATACAGATGTCGGTGAGGCCGGACTACCAGCCGAATGCTGTGGCGATGAACTTATTGAACTCGAATGCGAGTGTGTGTGGGAGTGCGAATGTGACTGCGAATTCGGTGATGAATTGTTGTGGCTACCGCCATAGTGTGTACTCGAATACTGTTGTTGCTGTTGCTGCAGTTGTTGCTGCTGCTGTAATTGTTGTATTTGGTGTGGCGCCAGCGGTGCGTTATAAGTCCAAACAATGCGATCACGATTGGAACCCTGTTTATTGAAGTACCAGGCAAACGGCAAAATTCAGCAAAAAGATAGAGAGAGGAGAGAAATTCAAAGAAATTTATTAGCAAATGATTTTACCATTTTTCTATTGCAAAATCCAACTTGGGCTCTGCTACCTATTCTAAATTAAGCACTAACTAAACTGGTAACTATAATAGTTGGCAATAATTGATTTTGTTGTTATCGTTTTCTTCTTTTATACAATATTTACAAACACAAATTGTATTTAATGTGTTGTTTTTTGAAATTTTTGCTGCTATTTTGATTGATTTGCTTTTCTAGAGAAATGCTCATTTATACTTCAGTTTATCTTTGTTTCAATTTTATCGATTAATCGAAATTATTAATTTTTATACAAAAAAAAAAGGAAAAATAAAAACAATTATTTTCATGAAAGCGAAGTAAGCTAAATATAGAATTATTAATTACTAAAAAAGTAAGGTTTTTAAATATGTAGAAAAATATATATGTGTGTAGATATACTACACATAATTTTTTTTTTATTTTTTCTAAATATTGCGCACCCTACAGCACCCTCTCAAAATGAAATCAAAACAAGAAAAAGTTAGTTTCCTCTGCACTAAATACCCTTCTCAGGTTTACTTCGAATACCAAATCAAATAATCTCTATTTTGATTTTGAACGATCCGTTTGTATGACAACCATATAATACAGTGATCCGAACTGAAAAATATGTTCGGAGGTTGTAGCTTTACCTTTGACAAATGTACCAAATTTCGCGAAAAAATCTTGTCAAATAAAAAAATTTCCTCCACACAATCTTGATTTGGATCGGTCAATTTGTACAGCAACTATACGCTACAGTAACCTGGACTTGGCCACTGCTTATGTGACTATAAAAAAAAACTTGATTTGATTTAGTAGTCAAAAGGTGACTTCAGAGGATGCTGGCTCTTTTTAAGGAAAGCAGACACCGGCCCTGATCAGTGGTTATGTGATTCTATCGCCTCGAAGTGAAGTTGTTTTAAAATTCATGCGGAGAACTCACGAAAAGCTGGCTGCCAGCTGACTCTATATAAGTAAAGCAGGTTCCGTGTCCGGCCAGTGCACAGCTAACGCTCGCAATGCCATGTGATGTGATTTAACAGTCATAATCTCGGGGGAAGCTGGCTGTATAAAAGCAGGCACGGTGTTTGGTCAGTGCTTAGGTGACGCTCGCACCGCCAAGTCAAATCTCGCGCGAGGCACAAAAGCCTGGCCAGTGCTTAGCTGACTAAAACGTCGTGATTTGATTTGCTTTTCCCCTTTTGGGAGAAACTGGCTTTATATATATATATGCAAGGCACGCTACATGACTTAATAACCTACGATTAGTGAAGACTGTGAGGGTCCTGGGGTTCGGTCTAAATGGTACAATTACTTTAAAATTTGCAGATTTTATTTGAACATTATCTGAAGAAATTAAGTTCTTTGAAAAGGCTATATCCATTTTTTTTCAAAGAAATTAATACATTTCTATCTTCAATATATGTATGTATAAACAAAAACAAAGCTGTTCTATCAAACATTTATTTTTACTATAACAGCGAAAATAAAAAGGGTAATATAAAATCACTTAATTTCGGCAAAAGGAACATATTTATTAACTATTACTACACATACATATAACGCTCTACATATACACATATGCATACTATATACTATAAACACTCAAATACTTCAATAAAATTAAATTCATGCGCTTAAGAATAAATATCAACAGATATAACTATAAAATGCGTCAATTGGATAGGTGAGCAACGATATTTGAAATATTGTAGCATGATTTTGTTAAGCAAATCTTAAGCAACTGCCACTACACCTGTAGTAATTAATTGAACTTTATCTATTTTGCACTACAACTACATTTGTATGTATGTATGCAACACGCTCCACCTTTTTATTAGCATATTCAGCTGTTGATTTGTTTGTGGTTATTGTTGTTATAGCCGTTTTTATTATTGTCAAAGTGCATGCAGTTTTTGTAACTGTAGTATTAGTAGTTGTTAGTGTTGTTGCTTCATTAGCATCGCGAGCTGTCATATTAGTCCTGATTGTATTCGAGTTAGTAGTGACAATATCATTTGTTGCTTGTGTGCTAGTATTGAAATTATGAAAATTATTATTGTTGTTATTGTTATTATTGTGGCAGCCACTTTCTTCTACTGTTGGATTTACTGGCGCTGCTGCCGACGCATCCAAAACAATTCGTGGGATGCTCATACGCACTTTGCGCCGTCTCCTATTAAAGATATCACGTTGACTGATTAGCGTGGACTCTGGTGACGATGGTAAGAGTTTTGGCGAGGATGAGGGCGATGAAGAAGCAGTCGCTGATGCGGTTGCTGCTGCTGCTGCCGCATTTAGTATAGCTGTTTTTAATGCCGTCGACGATGATGATGATGACGATGTGGATGTTGCGCAGGCAGAAACAGATGACGAAGATGTGGTGAGTGGAGAATATGTGGAAACACGTCTGGTTGCTGTTTTCATAGTTGCTTTGTTTGGGTGTTTAGTTAAAGTTATAGTAGTAGTAGATGGCTAGAAGATACACACGCAGAAAACAACAACAACAAAAAACATAATACCGACACCACAACGAATAAATTGACGAACAAAACACGCAAGGTAGAGGGGTAATGAATTAAAATTGTAACCGTTATGAGTTTGTAGAACACAATTGGTTTTATTTTATGGATGTGTGTATTTTTGAAATTGTTTTTATGTTTTTGTTTTTATGTTTTTGTTTGCATTAGGGCATTGTTTTTTATTAAAATAAAGGCAATTATGTTTAGAAGATAGTGAAAAAGAGGAAAAGAAATAAAAAAGACAATAACAATGTTAGAGAGTGGCATAGACAAAGTGTAGAAATATTAGTAGTAGTACTAAAAGTATTAGAACAAGAGTTTTAACAGCAGTTTAATAGTTTAACAGCAAGAATTTTAAGTTGTAAAATTTTAACTGTTATTGTAGTTGTTATGAAAAATTAAAAACAACGATTACTTATAAACAGAGTATTAAAAATAATGAAATTTCCGATTGAATAAAATACTACAAATGAAACACTTTTGGTGGGTTTTCTTTGCAAAAAATCACAAAATTTGTAAGAGTTGCTCGAATGTGATAACAAACTACCAATAAAATAAAAATAATAATAATTTCACAAGCAATGATTTGAACAAATCTATGCAATACGCACAACAGTGAGAATAATGATATAATTTCGCTAACAGACGTTTTTGGTTTACCAACAAGCATTCAGATAAGAAAAACGTTCTAAGTACTATTAAAAATAATAAATTCTAAAATTTTCAATAAGATTAAAATTAAAAAACTTCATATGAAAAATACGCTTAGAAGCTAAATCGTATTTTAATATTAAATATTTATATATATAAAATTTAACTCGATAAATAACTTATTTACACAAATTTATTTTTCAGTAATTTTTTTCATGTTGCTGAGAATTACCAGCTTAAATGGTATACATGTTTTCGATTTTTTGGCAAGTTATAAAACACATTTTATAAATTTCGACACTTTCATATATGCACTATACCTATTTGTATAAGTAAAAAGTTAATTTGATTCGTTTCGCCTTCCTATAATTATAAACCCTCAATTTACTCCGCGCCATTAGTATTCTGCACACACTTATAGCAAATTTTTCATTATAATTTACTCCACGCACACAACTTACCTGCGAATCTTCCGAGTCATGCCTCGTATCGAGCAGTGTATTCAGTGAACTATTCACATCCTCATCAATATCGATCGGTATCACTGCAGCCATGCCTTCACGCTGCACCTGCTGCAGGTGATCCTCAGACTTACTGGTACGGAATCCAGCGGAATCACATGTACGTACGACACCATTGTGTCGCCGCACCACAACATCGTGGACAACAACACCACCACCTACTGCACCCAGGCTTGTTGGTTCTGGGCTGGTGGGGACTGAATTCGCCGTGTCTTTGTCAATTAATGGCGTAGACAGCGAAATCGGTGAGGTGGGCACGGAGAATGAAGTTTCATCGGGTGAGGTGTTTATGCCAGTTAAGCCGTCGCTTTTCACCGTCGCCGATGAAGAACTCGAGCCACCTGAACCGCGTTGCTGTTGTCGTTTTTGCTGATGATGATGCTGATAGCCACCAGCGTAATGTTGGTTCGCACAATCGACTGCATCGCCGATGCCACCTCTGGCGCGCACCACACTTTGTGCATGTTTGTAATGTGCAGCGGCAGCTTTTTGCTTAAGTGCGCGCAAACGTTGTTTCGCCGATGCCGATGTCAGTGAATTTGATGAGTAGTCTTCGTCTTCATGTTCGGCGCCACAACAGTCTTCATCTTCGGCATCGAAATCCTCACCTTCGACATCGTCGTCCTCATCGTCGCCATAATTCGTTACCAGGCATTGACGATCGCTGGCGTCATCATCGCCACACACATCGCCCGCGCCAAGTCCACCGCTATTGTACGTTTCTATATTGGTGATATCATAGTGCGTCTGATCCTCCTCGTTTTCCTCCATGTCAACAACCTCATCATGATCGTAACTGCTGCGCTGTTGATAATGACTGTATTGGTGTCGTCGTGTTGAATGGTGTTGATGTTGCTGATATCGTTGTCTGCGATTATTGTCACCACCTGCCTCTTCGTCGTCACGCTCTAATTCTTCGCACAATAACAGCGTATCGTCTTTACGTGGATCGCTGTTAACTACGCCCACACCGCCCGCGCCACCACCTCCACCACTGTTACTGTTGTTGTAGCTGTTATTAATACTATCCAACTGTTGCTGGAGCAAATGATGATGAGGTTGTTGGTGTCTTCGCTTGCCACGATCTTTGTGGTGGTGAGCTGACTCCGAACTGGCCGTGTGAGTGGGCGAGTCCACCGATGATGAGGATGTGGGCGAAGACTCACCAGAAGCACGAGGCGCCAAAGCGCCGTTAGCACGCGCAGCCACGACCGCACGTTGTGGTGAGTCACGCAAACTGTCGATCTGTAAGGAAATTAAGTTGAGCGCAAATTAAAAAACCGCTAAAAGAAGGATATTTCAACTTAAGCTACACACTTTTTTTGCGTGACCTGGCAGTAGGTTACTACTTTGAGATGTCCTCGACAGATTCAGTATCAGTTCACCAGTCATCATGTATGCCTCAAAGCGTGGCGCCTTCGCTGGCTGCGGCGGCGCCGAGTTAGGCTCAGCGTCACGCTCCTTCTGCTGCAGTGCCGCCTGTTGCTGCTGCTGCTGAGTGAAACGTGTGCTGCCACCGCTATAACTATTTGAATGCTGTAAATGGGCACCACCACCACCACTCACACAACCGCCGGTGACTGGAGCTGTCGGCGCAATTACTGGCGCGTTACCGTTGGTGGCTGCCGGACCAGCCTTTGTTGGAATTTGTGATGGTCGCGGTCGCTTATTTTGTGGCGAATGTTGTACGGGTGGCTTTTGTGGAGCTTTCAGTGCCGTTGGAATACGTGATGGACGAGATGTGGGCGATGTACAGGTGGCGCCGCCCGCACCACCACTCGCTGCAGTAGTATTTATATCACCAAATTGTAGCTGTGCTGAGGAAGCGGAAGAGCTGCGACTATGATTGCCCTGTTGTTGTTGGCTGGCCAACGCAGGCGTCGGCAGTGAACCCTGTCGGTGTGGCAAGTGAGTGGGCGATTTGGCGTAGCGTATCGCAGGCGAAGACGATGAATTGGAATTGCTGTTGTGTGGCGGTTCGTAAGAGTCTTGCAGTGACAACGAGCGGTGGTGAGTTGTGGGAGATCGACAGCTCGATGATTTGTAATCATAAATATGCGGAGATGGTTCGATGTCTTCGTAATGGGGATTTTTCGTATTGGCCAGTTGCTCTTTGAGTCGCGCTTTTAGTTTGGGATCTGCGATTTTAGAATGGGATGTATGAAATTTTTAATTGAAGGCGAGGAAAATTGACAAATGTACACTTACCACGACGCAGCTCTAACGTGACCGAATCATCGGATAGCCTTAAGCACTTGAGAACTATTAAAAAATATATAGAAGGTTAATTTTCTTTCAGATATGTGTAAAGCAAAATACAGTCTTAGAATAAATATGTATATTTAAACTTTACAATATTAGGGAATTTAAATTTACTTTGCTTAAAAAAAATAAGTTTTTAAATAAAAATTTAAAAAGATATTTAGAATAAAAGAAAATGTAGAAAGATTTCTTTAAAATAAATGTCTAATTCAAAAATCAGTTTGTACATATAGCACATAGTTCTCCGATATAAACAATATATTCCGATATCTTGAGCATTCATCCATACCATACTATAACAATACAATATTGCGATCGTTTAGTTTATATGACAGTTATATAATATACTGGTCTGATATCGGATTTTCGAGAAATGAGCTTCTTTAGGAGAAAAGAATGTGTGCAAAATTTCAGAACGATATTTCAAAAACTGATAAATACTTGACGTACACACAGACAGACAGACGGACATGGATAAATCGACTCAAGCTCGACGCGTTCAGCATTTAAGTATTCATATTCTTCATACGGTTTCCAACGTTTCCTTATAGGTTTAAAAACATTATAGCAAATTTAATATACTCTCTTCACATTATAGGAAATGTCACCTCACACAGACTCACCTTCTTTCGTTGTATATCGATGAACATCAGTGCCATTTACTTTTAAAATAATATCACCAGCTTCGACCTATAAGTAGAAAATAGACTTTCAATAAAGTTTAGATAGTGGTAATTAAAATAATTTGAAAAGTTTTGTTTAAAAAATTATTTATTAATAATAACCTCAAACTAAAATATTTTTTTTATTTAGTAACATAGCCTCGGGGCAAAATAACAGTAAATGGTACATGTTAGCATTCTAGACACTTTGCTATATATTTATATAGCACCATGTGGATACATTTTAGGCGAATATTTGAACAGCACTCCCTCCGCCAACCAACACGATGCACAAACAAGGCATTTTTTGCCTCATAAATAAATTAACAAAAAACAACAAACTATGACTAATTGGTTGTATGCCAATAATTAGGCGGGACGAAATGCGTGGGCTGGAACTACCCTAATCAGGCGATGCGACACGTCAACAGCAACGGCAACGTCCCAGAGATGCGACAATCCTTGAAAATTACTTTTGACACAATTTAATGGAAAACACAATTGAACGAAAGTTTTTGAAAAAAATTGATGCACACAAAAGATAAGATATACATATGTACGTATTGTTTAGTTATAAAAAATAAAAAACAACAATAAAACTGTATTCATTGCGTGCCATAAAAATAATATATGTATGTACGTGTGAGAAGCAGGATGGGTTGTTGCTAAAACTTTGATTGGGCGTTGAAATTGAAAATACTTGTAGGCATCAGTTTCTATTGATTTTCTTCTTCTTTTTTTTTGGTTCAGTTTATTGTTTTTACTTTTTAACTAAAAGTAGAATATGACAATAGTACTTGAGTTCATAGGCAAGTATCTTAAGTGCATACATAAATACATTTACATACATACGTGTATGTATATACATACATCTGTACATAAGGTTGGCTGAGTGTGAATGCCGAAAAGTAGATTGAAGTGCATCTCTGATCTGCAGTTTCTCAACTTTTGATGACAGCGAGTGGCGAATTGTGCTCGCTTTGCGAAACCACGAAGATACGCTCCAGTTATCAGAAAGTAAGCACAGAATAGTGCGATTAGAAGATAAAAAAGTAAGAAATTGTGAACTCAAGAAGTTTCAATGGAACACTTTTCGACAAATATTTTTGCAAAAAATTTTATTTTGACTAAAAAAGTAGAACTTTACATATTACTATAAATAATATTTAATATAATTACTATAAAATATTGTAAAACATTTTTGAAAGACAACCACTACGAAGCACATACTACATATATGATTTACATATTGTCAAGTTATTTGGTTATGACAACATTATCAAAAGGGCGATTTTTGGGTGGGAATTAAAAAAACTGTCAGAATTGTTTTAAAATTTTGGGGATATATTTGTACTATATATTATATGAATGCGAAGTAAAATTATTGAAGTATTAAATTAAATATTTTTCGAGTTCTCTGATGTCAGCAAAACAAAGTTGCTGCAGTGATTTCAGTCTTCTACTTGGATGAAATCATAAAAAAATGCTCACTTAAACATATTTTTTATACAACGACCATTTTTTTGGTAGATCACTGTATGGAAAACTATGTACATATATATAAAACTTTGTCCTCCGAGTTATCACTCCAGTAAATACGAAAATTTCTGTTTGGATAAAAAGGCGTTTAAGGATATATTGATTCCGCTGAGTGAACTGAGCAATTGTAGAAGACTGTATCACAAAAACTATTTGAGATAAGTTAGTTTAGTTTTTCTTTTTTAAAGGTATAGCCTATCGAAATATGAAAACACCGATTCTATGTTTGTTTCTATATGCTTCATATTGTTTCTATAGGCTTGTATTTCTATATTGGATATTAAATTAATATTTTTTAATATTTTTATATTGAAATACATAAGAATTTACATATCGTTATATCGAAATTCAGTACCTTATTGAATACGATTCACTACTTCTCTTCTATTCTTACGTTATTTTGCATTTTAGGTGACGATATATATTTTTATGCACGTATGCACCTTCGATATACCGATCAGCCAATATTTATTTAAGATATTTGCATTTACAAATCTGCCATGAATACATACATATGTACGAGTTTGTTCATTTAGTGTACTATACTATGTACATATGTATATTAAGATAGCACTACTTTTTGGCTTCGGAAACATTTTGTTACTAAGAAAGTTTATATACAAATTAAAAAAAAAAAATGGGTGTTAAGATAACTCACATATACATAAGCGGTATAAAATCACCGGGAAATTCGAAAACCATTATAATAGGTATATGGAGGCTCAGGGAAGTATTCATCCGATTCAACCCAATTGTAGCACACAGATATACTACCATTAAGAAACGCTTCTCTCTAAATTTTAATTGTATATGCCATATATTGATCGATATTTTCGGTAAAAATATATAAGGTTAGGTTGTGAGGTACACATATAATCGGTTTTCGTTGGATTTGAACAATTTTTGACCATAAGGTGGCATACTTCAAAGACATTATTCGTGCAAAGTTTTATCCCATTACATTAGTTGATTCTTTATTTGTACACAGACAGTGAAACAGTCAAGTGGAATTTAAAATTGTGTTATATGCAAAGTAGGCGTGGTTTTAGTTCGATTTAACTCATATTCATATACCCATATCATGTAGCGATTTTGGTTGAAATCGGTCAAGTGGGTTTCAAGATATATGCTTTCACCTAAAAGGGTGCCCCTTGCTCCTGCGATCCCTCCTACGAACTCGTAATTTTTTTTGTCAACCACCGCGCATACCAAGTATCAAGATATCTTATCTCTATTTTTTTTACTCAAGCTTCAGCTTTCACGGAGAGACAGACCGACATTCACCCAGATTTAAATTCGCCTCTTGATCATTTATACATATGCATATATAGTCTACATCTATCTCGCGTAGTTTTAGGTGATACGTTCAACCGTTAGGTGAAAAAACTTTGTACCAATATGTTGCAAGAGTATAAAAGTATTAGCTCCGAAATACTTAAAAAAAAATAGAAAATAATATTTCAGTACAAAACAAACTTTGACTATTAAAATTATTAAACTCATTTTTATTTTTATTTCTTTGCGAAGTTTACAATGTAGAGAAATTCAGTTTTCGTGAAGTTATTAGTCTGTTTTTCTGAAATTTAAGTATTATCTTTCTCCCTTAGTTCAAGTTTAAGCTTTAATAGTAGTTTTAAGCTCAAGATTCGTGTTATAGATAAGCATGTATTTTCACACACACGCACGGCGAAATGTTACTTGACCACCTTAATGTGCCTATTACTACTTTATGCAATTTATTTTTTTTTTATATACTTTATTTTTTCACTAGTCTCAGCACTATATTCGCATTAATTTTCGACGAGCAAGAGTTACACTTTTTCACACTCCAATGAAACAAAGAAAGAAGTAAACAAAAAGTTTCATTTTCGGCGACAATGAAGACAAGTGAAACTATCTCACAATGCATTTCTCCTGCTCACCTTTTGGCCGCCAACTTTTTCTATTATAGCTATTATCGCCACAAAATTGTCTCTTCTCTATTTTATTGCATAAGTTTTCTTCGTTGCAATTAAATTTTTTAATTATTTTACAACTTTTTAATGGTGCACTGAAAATTGCATACTAAAAACTCTTCCAACGAAAGGCGAACGCGGAACTGTGACTATTATTTGACCCACGTCGTAATGGGCACGAACAAGCCAGAGCGACCCGCAAGCTCAGTGAACGAACAAATGTATAGGATATGTTGGATGACGGGTGGCTGGCTGCTTGGCAGGTTGGATGCAACGACCCAGCTAACGACTAGTCAAACGGCCGACCGGCTGAGGAAACGAATAGCCGAAGGTAAAAAACAACAACAACRATGTGTGCTGTAGAAAACGAGATTAAGATTTTGAGCGCAAAAATGCAAAACAAAAACAAATAATACATATGTATATGTATGAAGCGCTTCGTTACATTTACACATATATATGTAAGTACATATGTATATATCACCATATTATATATATATTATATTGTATTATTTAAAAAAGGAGACTGTAAGTGTAACGAAACGCCTCATACTCCTCAACTAGGTGGCTACACCCCTAGCTACTTAGTGCTTTTAACGACACCACCTCTACGCTCACTAATTAGGAGAATGTCAGTGAACAAAAGAAATTTGTATTACTGATAAATATATTAAATGGTGAAAGAGCCAAGCAGTTAAAATATGCATAAAGCCAGACGAAAAGTTAAAGTATTTACAAAAACAATTCACAAATATCTAAACGGCAAACTTTGGCTGTTCCTCAACTTCTTTGCGCCACAGCTCATTGAGTACGCAAATCGGCTATGAAATGTGTTGGAGAAACTTACACCAAAATATGCGAAAGTGTGTGTGTGTGGAGGTGGCGGATAATAGAGACGTACGCTGGCACACTAAGCTTTAACGCAATAGTACAAGATTAAAGATAAATAGCAGACTGAGGCAAGTGTGGCGATAACTCTATTGGCAGCAAAGCACAATTTTTGTTTGTGCGGCAAATTAACGAATCTATGCGAAAAAGTAATCAAAGCGAAAATTGAAAATAAAATCAAACATTCCAGTATTGATGGCTGGTACTTACTTCTGCAAATATTAATTTTCGATACTTTAAAAGTTTATTAATAACACACTATTCTGAAATCTATGAAGATGTCTGCAACGAAGGATACGTTTATTAAGTATGTGCTGAAGCACAACTATAATTATATGCTAAAAAACTTAATACAACCTGAATCCCCATAGCAAAAAAAGCTCAATAGAGAAGAGTGCATAAGCCATAGATTTTCACACAAATACATACATACATATGCTGTGCTGAGCGTGATTAAATGAATGAAGGTTGCAGCAGAAAGCTGCATAACAAAAATAGGTTAGTGTTATTAGTGAGTTCTGCGTTGGTGTAGAATAAATAAGGTTAGTAGCAGAGTTGCCATTAAGCAAGCCAAACTGTTACAAAATTTAGTATTTCATTCTTTTCCAAATTACACCAAAATAGTTTCATTCATTTTTTTATATAT